GGCATGTGAAATGCAAGTACAAGTTTCATAAAAAAACTTATACTTGTAGTCTCTTTAAACATAAAAACCGAATGTGTTTCAATCGTATTGCTTACATGCGTATAAATATCAACTTTAAAACAAAATGTTGCTTTTATACAAAATCATCATTAGAAAAAGAGCAATAAACCGGTTTTTTTTGTTTTTACAAAAAAAACTTCTATCTAACTAATTTAAGCCTTAAAATGTAAAATTTGCGAAAACATTGATATACCCTTAATAGTACCCTAAAATATTTTTTTTATGGGTATAAAATATTTTTAACTTATTCCTCGTTTAGTTGCAAAGAATTCCGATATACTTGCATAACACATTATTCTAACAATAGATCAGAAAAAAAATAATTAAAAAAAACAAGTTTTAAATATACATATATTTTTTTAATTATTATTATTACCCTCGGCAGCAAAGGCCGTTATATATATATATATATATATATATATATATATATATATATATATATATAATATATATATATATATATATATATATATATATATAAAATAATAGCTGACCGCTGTGCAATCATAATGCCAAAAGAGTGTATGATGAAATCTTGATTTTTTTATGAATACAAAACTTTTGGCTCGACAATACATCAAGATCACCTTGGCCTCATTAATTGATAGACAATTGATTGACTCTTCAAGCCAATTAAAACAATTACTCTTACAAGAGGATTTCTATTTGTTCTTTATTATTTTATGGCTATAACCTTTTGGCGTGAGACACTATAGATGAATAATTCTCTTGCCAGTGAACGTCCGTCAGTATCCATGTATAATATTTTTATAATTCATATTTCCGAAGTTCGTATGACTTCGTTTAATTTTACTATGTCATTACTGTTGGTAAGAATTTTCATAGCTTTTTTAATTTTCTGTCAATATTACAAGTGTCTATAGGAAGAATATAAATTACTATAGAATTCTATAAGAGTCTTTTCACGATAAAAGGTTATTGGCGGACATTTATTTGCATTTATTAATTAGATACCACGATTCACAATCGCAAAAAAAAAAAATATTAAAAAGGTGTTTTAATTATAATACCACTATGACTCAAAGGGTTTCATTTTTATTATAATATGAAATAGCATTTTCTGAACTACCTATACAAGCTATGTACTATTGCAAACACATTACCTGTATCTTCTGCGACATGTGAAAGAACTTTTTCTCCTATGTAAAGGATAAAAACGTACTTGAGAAATTCAATGCTCCACAATAATCTATCTACCTTAGGCACACTTATTTCTGTATGGAAAACTGAAGCATAACGTCGACGATATTATAAATACTTTTACCGAATGTCATTACTACAGACGAATATTGTTAGTCCCCTGTTCCCCCTCTAAATTCGGCCCTGTATATATACTGTATATACTTTATAAATATTATATCTTATATTATTATATTATATATAAATATATATAATTATTATAATTTACTATTTTATAAACTTTTATAATAATATGGTAAATTTAATTTATAATTGACGGAAAACAAATGAAATAACGCATCTAGTATAAATATTTAAGCCATTTTACATTACATCAAACAAATTAAATCAATTTTATAGAGTTTAAGATGAGTGAGCTTTTTACACTAATAAAATACTTCTTTGTTTCTTTACAAAGAAGTAAAAATATATGCACGACTTTCAAAGTGCCATCTGGTAATCATTTTTAATAAAAACAGCCTCGTTTGAGTCGTTGGCTCATTAACGAATAAAAACGAATAAAAAGTGAAATAATTACTCCTTAATAATGCTGACAGCACAACTAACACTATGTCGGGCGTCGTTTTGTCGGGTTTCCCCTGTCACCACAGATTTGCTGATGATAATCTGTTTTATCTAATCTGTGCAGCTGTCGCCTGTCACGCCGAAGTCCAACACAATACAACCTATCAATGGGCAAGTCACAACTCACAAGGTTATATTTTAAGGTGTGTTTTCAAGTTATTATTTAAAGTTAAAATATATTTTAGTTTTTTTTTCCCAAAAGCGATATTGCACCTTGTACGTTAAACAATTTTTGTATTTTGGCCACAGCGCCTTATGTGGTGATGTTCCACTAGTCTCGAATATGTTACACTGAAGGATTCATTTTCTGATATAAATGTAAGCGTTTAAACCGAAACTAATATTTCATAAAATGTCTGTTTAAATGAAATACTTGATTTCCCAACATAACCTTATATTTACTGATTACCTCCTCGAACAATCCATCACGTCTAGTATTAATTGTAAATAACAATTTTACATATTTTGTTATTGTATATTTATTTAGTTGTATACAGATTTGTTTTCTATAAAAATTTTGAAATTAAAATTTGTTTTAAAAAATCACTAATTTTTATGACAATATGATTTTTGTGCGTTGGAGATGCAACGGGACGCAATAAAATATTATATATTTTTACAGCTGAAAACTTCCCCTACAAAATTAATGAATTATCGGCATGTTTATTTTCAAAATAACAGAAATAAGTAATAAACATATGTGTTTAGTTCACTTGGCTTTTTTGAACATTTTTAGAAACTTAGAACAAAATTCTAGAAACTAGAAAATATCTATATTATATTATGATCAAAATATTGTAGCACTACTCAATAAAGTTTGTTTTTTTTTTACATGCCTTTTTTAAGCCGCTGTCTAGGAGACTGTGATGATCTGAAAAAATGTACTACCAAAAAATTAGTGTTATTTAAAAAAAAAAAAACAGTGCAGTATAAATCAAGCTCGAACAAAGCTTGAAAACTAATATAGTATATTATACACAACAAAGTGTATGGACATAAAGTGAATTTACAAAAATGCAACGCTAGCACAAAATTAAATTATATTACCTATAGAAATAATGTCTTGCGTTATAATGTATAAACCTAACCTAACCTATAAACATAAGTACTAATGGAGACTTGACAAATGTTTATATAAAATAAATGTACAACAGTTAAGGTAGGTTTAGCTGTTGTCTATGTATATTATTTCAATAGCAACTCCTCAAACCGTAATTTCGATTAGAAATTTCTCAATTAATGATTTGAATGACGTGTTTCGCAGCTACTGTATTTAATTTATTTAAAAAAAAAATATGAAATTAAAAAAAAACAACTTATGTCAGCAACGGCTGCTCTACGAGCCTACTAAATTCTGAATTTCAAAACTTATTTTAAACAATAAACCTCATAACGCAAAATTTCATAACAATTTGATTAATCTTGTATATTATTTGTATGCAGTAATCAGTCCTAAATAAAATGTTGGGCGCAGACAACACTCCCACAACCCTGTTGAATTTTGGCTAAGCAGTTTCATAATACCATTGAGTAATAATAGGTTTAGATTGGTTCGTTATGTTAATAGTTAAAACGCATGTAAATCCCAAGAAAATTACATTTTTAGACAGTAAATTCGACTAGTGTTCTCGACCAATGTTTTTTTGTCATTAGATCAGAATACATAATTTTACTTGATTTGAAACTTAGCAATTTGACGTAGGTTGTTTCGCAATATTTTATTTTTTATATTTGAATAGTGCACACTGTTTAATGTTATAAAAAAAAAACGCTTTGATGCTTATTTGTAAACACAGCACCTCAATTTAATACTTTCTACCATTGCTGGTTTACACTGTGCTTGGTTTGAAAATACTAACTTTCGATCAAAGCGTTTACTCGAAAGTGATTTTATATTGTATTTTGCCCAACTTTAGTATTGCGTCACACTTTAAACACCTTCAGTGGAATTTTCAGAATTAAATAAGCCGTGCATTTCTAGTTTCTAAATGCCATAATTCTAAATTAAACTGTCGATTCCATTCAAAAGTCTTATTTACGTTTTTTTACTTTTAAATGCAAAGCTGGAAGACTTCCTCATTGGAGTATTGAAGGAGTATCCGGAAGTTCGAAGTGATGAAAATAATTACGTTTTGTAATTTATATAATAACTACATTCCGTTAATATGGAACTATAAAAATAATTGTTCATTTATTTGAAATTCAGCTTTATCCCATCCCACTTAGGGAGAAAACGTTTTCATTTTGAATTAATTAAAATTTAATGATTTAAGGACTGAAAAAACGGTTTGGTTCTATTTCCAATTCCCTCTCTTTTTTTCCTGTTCTTATTTAGTGTCTATGCCCTATGGAAATGCGGTTGACGGGTACATTATTTAAATTTTTCAAAAGTATAAAACTTTATTCATCCAGAAATAATATATCTTGTCATGCCAACTCAATTGATATTGGATTGACTTAAATACGATGTACATATGAAAAGTTGTGTGTACAAAAATTTACCCTATTGAAGAGGAAAACTTTTCAAGTACCTTTTAACTACCTTTCAAGTACGATTTTTGTTCTATTAGTAAAATTAATAGAACTAATAGAACTTAGAATTCGAATTATGTTAATTTGGCTAAAGAAACATACACTTATTGCTACTAGAAATTATGATTACAACAAGACTCTAATAATTTAGTATGGAACTAAACTTGCAAATTCTTAATTTTGTTTACATTAAAACTGCGAATTGCCTTCCAAAATATAAAAAATTAGGTTCTACAAAAGATCCAACTGACGATATCATATCATACTGCTAGGGCTTTATTCTTAAATAATAAATAAACTCTAGTTTTTATTAAGATTGATAATCAGTTTCACTATTTTAAGCTTATCGACCTGTCAATTTAACTAAAAAAAACGATTAATTCGGAAAATGTATACAAGTTGATGCCAATAAACTACAAAATTGTTTAATGAATAAAATGAAAGAAAACAAGTAGAATATTAAAATGTATTTTTTGAATGCTTGTATTGCTTCATAAGAGTTCCGGATAACGAAAATGTCTTTTTATATATTATCTTACGTTGAATAGGTTACTCGCCCGTATGTGTCCTTAAGTGGGATTTAAGATGTCCTAACTGTGAAAATGCTTTCTTACATTACTTACATTGAAAAGGCCTTTCGCCCGTATGTGTCTTTATGTGGTTTTTAAGAGTTCCAGATGCTGAATAAGTTTTCTTGCAAATCTCACATTGAAAAGGCTTCTCGCCAGTATGTGTCCTTTTGTGCTTATTTAGACTTCCTAAATGTGAAAACGTCTTCTTACATATCTCACGTTGAAGAGGCCTCTCGCCTGTGTGTGGCCTTATGTGCTTATTTAGATCCACAGATGAAAATGATTTTAATCCCAATTCACAATGAAATGGTTTTTCGGCTGTGTGTTTTATAATGCATTTTTTAATTGATCTGGATGGATTTTCATCAGTTTGAATTGGAATGTATTTCATATTACTGATGAGTGTATTGCTAAAAAGAATAGTTATATAAATGTTATGATAATAACTTTATATTAGTATATCTTTAATGAAACCTTTTCTATTTTTATACAATTCTTACTCATTGTCAGTGTAATGAGGATGCACATGCTCGTCCTTGATAACTGCTAAGTCTTGGCTTTCTTCAAGTTCTATCTCAGATTTAAAATAAAAATCATTATCGATTTCATCGATCTCCTGTATAACTACATCCACGGTGTTTGGTTTTCTAACTGATGTTGATTTAATTTTCATACTTCTTGTATCTGAGACTGATCTAACAAAACTTAAAGAAACAAGTATAAGGAATTTTATAACAGTATTCTTAACATTTATATTAGGTAATGATAAACACAAATATTTGGATTAGGATTGAGATGTATTTTTAAAAAAATCTCATTAAAAGACTCAATTATTAAACAAAATTTAATTTTAAAAAAGTTTTACTTTAAAAAAGATTATACAGATATGAAGGTAATATTAAAAAATAAAGCAGATAACATTTTCCATAAAAAAGATTTTCTAGTACTTTTTGACTTTTAAAGCAACGTTTTTTCTGAAAATTTGATACGAATGTTTCTACTTTGTTGAAAAACAGTTTTATGCTACTTAACCCAATTATCTAAATAAGAACATTATTAACACATATAATTAAAGCTTAATGAGTTTGCCCAAAATTCGAGAAATTTTCTAATTTTTTTTCCAGAAATTTTCGTAGAAAAACAATAAAATGAGAAACATATAATTATTTTAACTTGAATACTGTGGTCGTTTGTTTGACCTTTCTATGAATTTATGCCAATTTATTTATGTTTCTAAACGTTTTTATGGAGATCCCATTAATAAATTTGCACATTGTATTTAGAAATTGTTCAGCTTTCTGAAAAAAATATTATAAAAATTCTCAAATAAAAAAAAAATGTTTAGATGATTAACAATATTTTAATAGTTTTCTGTTAAGCGAAAACCAAAATAAGTAACTTTTTTAGAAAGCTGAGTTTATTTTACATGACAAACTGATTTTTAATTTTAATTTTTAATAGCCATATATACTATCAACAAGCAATAAAAAAGCGGTGTCATGATAAAAACTCAAAATACTTTTTATGATTAAGGCCAATATTATAGAAAAAAAAAATCTTAAAAAATTGGTAATATTTTTTTCATCGTAACAGACACGGTGTGAAATTTTCAAAATGATCGACAGAGTTTGGTCCAGAACGTTTGTTTATATTTTGCGTTTTTACGCATATATAGTGTCAGATAGAAAGCGATAGAATATTTTTTTTTTAGTAGCTTATTTTCAATAAAAAAAATCTTTTCGCTTAGATTAGTAAACAGAATCGTTTCAATCAATCTCCTTTTAAGAAAACATGAATAAATTGAGTATAGTGTTTTAATCAACGTCATAATGTGTTATGCATGCCGCATTTTGTTCGAAATTGAATAATTAATTAAGAATTTGTCAAGAGTTTTAACTGGGGTAGGTGGAATTTTCGGCAACCTAACATTTCCTATGGATATATACTCGTGTATTTATGTATTTATTTATAAGACAAAATATGCAGGAAAATAAAGCAGGAATGATCAAAACTTAACGTTCTTGGAACATTTTATTAAAATGTTAACTGTGTATAAATATGTGACGATAATGAGATTAAAAAAATCAATAATTTTTTTTTTAAAGTTAAATTTTAAACAAAAATTAGTAAATAAATAATGTTTCTTGAATTTGATTGATTTACATTTACGCGTTGAACGACCAGTAAAAAATTTTTTTTTTATCTCAAATTTTTACCAAGTCTCTTATTTTATGTATAGAACAAATTTAAATGTTAGCCCATTAACATTTCGAAGACCCTATTGGAGACGTATGGGCTAGATCCATGTTTCTACTATACTGGCCCTGACATGAGCTGGGTTTGTGCTTTAAATATACAGGCGTTCATTTGGAATTGATTTAGGATTACAATATGCTTTTAATGTATGAGGCTGGCGTACGCGGAGGAATTACCCAGGCAATTAAACGGTATTCTAAGGCTAACCATTCTAATGTACCAAACTACAATCCAAACAAGCCACATAATTGGATAGTTTACCTGGACGCAGCAAATTTGTAAATGTTAAATATAATATATAAAGATGTATTTATTCTTTATTAAAATTTGTTTATAATTATTTTAGGTAGTAAATTTTTTTTTTTGTCTTTTGTATAGTTATTATTATATAAAGTGTATTTAAATACCACTAAGATTTGTCTTGGGTTAATATTAAAAAAAAATCCAGTCCAAACCAATCACAGTATAAACCAGTTTGAATTCAAAAAAGTTAGAATATATTAAATTGAGGTGCTGTATTTACAAATAAGCATCAAAGCGTTTATTTGAATGTGATTTTATTCAATTTTATCACTTTTATTTATAATAATTCATGTAGACCTGTGACCTCTCCGTCCCCTCGTTGCTTTTATTCCATTAAGCCTATACTCTACTGTACTAGTCCTCTCGAATAAAATCACTTTTAAATTAACGCTTTGATGCTTATTTGTAAATACAGCACCTCATTTTAGTTCTTTCTTACTATGCTGGCCTACTCTGTGATTGGTTTGGACTGTACTGACTTGAAAATACTAACTACTGATTTGAATCGAAGGGTTTATTCAAAAATGATTTTACCACTTTCAGGTTTAAAAATTCCTGTAAACCTGTGACCTCCCTGTTCCCACTATGTTCCGATCGCACCATGCTCCGTCCCCACCATGACTGTACTGGTTTTTACGCATAATACTTCAAGGTCATATATAGAAACCTAGGTACATAGACCATTGTCATGTTTTTAAGTGTGTATGATTATTACACATACGTTATTTCTTATCGATACGAATTTATGGTAAATAATCCCAGATTTGGGCCTCTGTTTTAAGAGTTCTGTACATGTTAGAAAATAATCGCTATACACGTTAAAATTTTTCAGGGGTTCGGAACTAATTCCGGAACATGTTCCTTCATGACTCCCTGTTGCAATCGTTCTGGAACAAATACCCGGAACTCGTTCCTCAAGATATTCGTTCCGGAACAAATACCCGGAACTCGTTCCTCGAGATATTTGTTCCGGAGCAAATACTCGGAACTCGTTCCTCGAGATATTCGTTCCGGAACAAATACCCGGAACTCGTTCCTCGAGATATTCGTTCCGGAACAAATACTCGGAACTCGTTCCTCAAGATATTCGTTCCGGAGCAAATACTCGGAACTCGTTCCTTTGATATTTGTTCCAGAACAAATAAAATGTATTTGTTCCTTGTCATTATTAATAATTTATTAATGGAACAAAATGTATTTGTTCTACGTATTATGTGTTTCGTTCGAGTTTATTGACGGTGCACATTTTTATTGTTACTTTAGCCTTTGTGTGTGGTATTTTAGAACAATAGACACATTTATTTAAGTTAAATGTTAATTAATTTACCAAAAGATTATAGTTAATGCATTTGATATAACAATTAATGTTATTTTCAGTGTACATAAATATATATATGTATATACATGGTGAAAGTTAACAGAGTTATTATAATAAATTTATACATACTAAGAAAAATGTATGCAACTAATCCATCAAAACCATCAGTCCTTAAACTTGTTAAGTTAAAAAACGCTTAATTTATATTAATTTAATATTTTTTTAGATACATACGGGCTATAATATATGGCTAATTTCCAGTGTAATTTTTTTACATGACATATACAGAGTGATTCTTTTATCATGAACCACTCAATATCTCATAGGGTTTAATAAGAAATTCAAATATTTTTTTTCATATTGTTGTTATACAATGTGATCTCAATTTTTCACAATTTTTTTGTTTTTACCCCTCCCAACTTGTGATGAAGTTTAAGCTTAGGACAGGAGGAAAGGTGGAGTGTAAGATTATTTTTATCTGCGCACATTTCCCAACCGCACTTACCCTCCCATCCTAACTTTTAAACTGTTATAACTTAAAAAAAAAAATATTGTAATCTGGTCATCGACCAGTCAAAATGTTTAGTATATTATTCTCAATTTAAAAAGTTAATAAAATATATACGTTACCGTTTAAGTTTTAAGATTTGCTATCAAAAAAACTTTCAAGTTGGGAGTAGGGGATAAAAAATAAAAATATTGTGAAAATTTGAGATCACATTGTATAAAAACAATATGAAAAAATAAATTTAACTTAAATTAATTAACATTCAACTTAAATAAATATGTCTATTGTTTCTAAAATACCACACACAAAGGCTAAAGTAACATTAAAAAAGTTTTTCAGCCGAGTCTGCAACCACGAAAGAGCATTTACATGTCTCGTTGAAGTACCGAGATAATAAATAATATTATAAATGAGATTATAAATAATGATATAGTATATTAAGAAGCAGTAACAAGCGCTAATATATTAAAACATCAAGTTTCTGGCTAAAATTGTAGTGTTTATTATCTGGCTTAAAACAATTCATAGAGAAATTGGGCCCTTAAACTGTTTTGAATTTATTATTTAGTTCTAATTTGAACGTTGAACGTACAACAAATCTCTTATCTCCTATATCTTTCCCTATCCCCTACCCACTATCTCCCATCCCCTATCACTCACTCCCTATCTCTCACCCACTATCTCCTACCCCCTGTAACGGGTTTGTGAAGGTTTTTTTAAAGAACGCTTTTTTCGGTTATGTGCCAGAGCTAATTCCCACCCCCCATCCCTATTCCCACCCCCAATTCTATTCCCACCCTAGCCCTATATCTTACCCCCTATCTCCCACCCCATTACTATTCCCACCCCTTTTTGTAACACTTTTGTAAAGAACGTTTTTTTCGCTTATGTGCCAGAGCTAAGACATGTAAATGTCAAAATGTGTACCTTCAATAAACTCGAACGAAACAACATAATATGTAGAACCAATACATTTTGTTCCATTAATAAATTATTAATAATGACAAGGAACAATTACATTTTATTTGTTCCGGAACGAATATTTCGAGGAACGAGTTCCGAGTATTTGCTCCGGAACGAATATCTTGAGGAACGAGTTCCGTGTATTTGCTCCGAAACGAATATCTCGAGGAACGAGTTCCGAGTATTTGCTCCGGAACAAATATCTCGAGGAACGAGTTCCGGGTATTTGCTCCGGAACGAATATCTCGAGGAACGAGTTCCGGGTAATTGTTCCGGAACGAATATCTTGAGGAACGAGTTCCGGGTATTTGTTCCGGAGCATAAA